CCCTACAAAAATAGTATTTTTTACTAAATATATTATTTGTTCACTCAGATGTTCCATTAAAACAGAAGGCAAATGATTTCCCATTTCAGATATTGTTGGCTAACAGATCTGTGCACATTAGACATTCTGAGAATCTTAAAATTCTGTTATGGTCCTGGAAGTAACACCTTCTTATTCAGCAGGCATGTTTCCTGCATTATTTTTGTTGTATGTGTTTACATTAGTGAAAAAAGAAAGAAAGTATTGTTGTCATCCTTGAAAAATCAGCAGAGACCTCGTGTAAAATTGTGTTTTAGTGATTTGTAAGAGATCAACAGAATTGTTGGCCAAGTCCCTACTGCAAGGACAACCACAGTTGGTCTGGTTGTCCATCAGTGATGCATTCAGTTATGCTGTGCAGTTGTGTGACAACACATTGCTATTTGGTCTGTGTAATTTTTGTTGGTATAGAGGATGCATGGTCTAGAAGAAATCTAGTTTGATACTTGATCTTAGTCTCTGATTTCAAGGCTGGTGTTTTGTTTGTTTGTTGGTTTGTTTTTTTAAGAAGGGGGACGGAAACAAAAAAACCCACCATAATCTGACAGTTTACCTGGAAATAGGTCAAACTGTGATGCAATGCTGTCTATGAGAAGACCTTAGTTACTAAATTCAGAGTAAAAGCAGTGTAGGCAAAATGTTCCTTAGGTGTTAGGCATTATATAAAGTCTGTAAGTCTGCCAAGTCTGTAGGTGTGGGCTTGCATACAGTTGAAGCTCATCCCTCATTATGTTTTCTGGAAGCACTGTTTATATATCTGGCCTGTTCTGTTCTTGTTCTTACTTACGGGGACCAATGAAAATAGTAATGTGTGCTCAAAGTTGAACATGTCTCAACATCCTGTTTCCCTTCCATTCTGTCCTATTAAAAGAATAAGAAAAAAAGTATCCCAATGTGGTAGTAGTGCTTTATTGGTAGTATAGGTTACATTTCTCATGCCAACAATGTCATTGTGGAAGATATCTTTAATAATTTATACAGGACTGAAGAATTTACAGAAATTGCATTGTGTGTAAGGTCCTTTCTGTAATTTTTAACCTGTTACATAGATTAGAAGTTATCACCTAACTCTGTAACTACACAGTGATTCAAAGAAGTCATGAAATACAACTATTTTTCAGTGCTCATAGTCCTCTGCTGAATTGATATTTTAAGTTCAATCCCTATCCCTGCTGAATCCCTATTTTATAGGGTTTTTCCATAGACAGTAGAGGTGCTTTTAGATGAAAAATACTCTTGGAAATACAAGTCTGTTTGCATAAATTAGCAGTACTGTGATCATTAAAACTAGTTTTGTCTTCAAAGAAGTTTATGCCATCTTGATTTTTTGTAGCTTTGCTAGTAAAAAAACGATTAATGAGTTCTACCTTTCCTAATCTGTTTCTAATTAATTTCACTTTCATTTTTTTCACAGCATAATTTCTGCAAACACACAGAAGCAATCCCCTTTCTTGCTCTGTTTAGGCTCCCTTCCATTAGACTTGAAGCACATCAGTTTGCTACAGGTTTTGTTTTGGTCTTTTTTGTTTAAATACTTACCTTACAAAAACCTGTTCTTTTGATCAATTCTTTTCCATAGAAGCGTTCCTTCAGTTGATGTTTTCTTGTATGGTCACATCTTTACCTTTCTGTTCCTGTTTGATTTTTTTAAAATTCTCTTTTTGAAAGGCCATGTATTTGTTTTTCTCTTCGCTGCTGCTCTTTGTCAATGCCAGCTCCTTTCCCCACCTTCTATGTGCTGGAACTTCCGATGCCCTGGGTATGCATGCTGTGTCCCATCTTACTCCCATCAGAGCTGCCTGCATTCACAGGTTTCACGGTTGCCACCCATTAGTGCAGTGACACCCATCCCTGCAGTCACACTGCAGATGTGTATGGTTAGAGTCCTCTGTTCCGGAAATCAGATCCAACTTCCTGCAGTCTCCTCCTCCTCTTGGCAGCCCTAAAGATAGTCCTCGACACTTACCATGATAAAATAGGAATGGAGCTGGCTTTACAGGTGTTTCGGTTTCTGTAGTATTCAGCTCCTGCAGGCAGAATGTGAAGTGAGCATTCTCCTCCACCTTGGTTATCTTTGTAAGCAGGGGCGAAGGGAAAGGGAGGGATCTTCATGCCTCAGAAAAGGGTGTTGGGATTTACTTGGTTAGCACAGTGGAACTATTTTTAATGTGTCAGTCATCTATCTCTACATTTCTACTCCATATCCCAAGTCCTTGTAATCAAAAATAACTTCTCAAGTAATGGGTGTTTTTTTGACACAAGTTCTTTTCACAGATGTTTTTATACTGTCATGACAACTAAACGATTTGATGAAACATAAAAAATCCATTTTACTTCTCCTTTTCTATAACTTTCCTCCTTTTAACCTATAGTTTCTATAGGAAAAAGATAACCCTAACCTATAGATAGGGAAACCTAACCTATAGATAGGATAAGGTTTTCCTTAACCTATAGATAAGGAAAAATGGTGGTGAAATCCTTCAAAAATGCTGATAAAGAAAGCCTCCATGTGTTTAAAGATATTTCCAATCAAATCTGATCATTGCAGTGGAAAGTGAAAAATTTATATGAAGGGTTTACAGGTTAAATTTTAGAATTATTTTTTCCTTTGTGGAAAGGATGACCTATGTTTAGTTGTACTTAAATTGATTCATGTGCAACAAATTGCTTGGAAAGAAGAAATGTGCCAGTGCTTTTCTTCTGAGACTTGATGTAGCTTCTTGCACATTCTGTTGTTAACTGCCTGTATTTTCCACTGGAGTAAGTTTTCTTAACTCTCTTTTTAAAAAGAATTCTCAATAAATAGGTGTGCATTTAGATAAAACAGACTGCAAGGTCTCCATTCACAGTAGGGTTTGCAAGAACTGTATTTAGTGTGCATGCATACATGTGTTACAGAGAGGGGCAGAGCTGCGTATTTCTGTAGAGAGAAATAAGTGATGCCAGCCTGTTCCTTCCTGATACAAAGCCTTGCAGAGCTCTAAGTTAATGAGCATAATTTTTTCCCTGGTTAGGGACCTGATGTAATTTTTGCTTTCAGGTAAAACTATCTAGTTTTCTTAAGAGATCTTGCTTCTGATGTTACTTTTCCCCTATTTTCACATTCAGAGTCCTTCAGTTTCTATTATGGAGCCTTTTCCAGTACCCTGCATGCCTTCAGCATGTTTTTCTGACCCCAAGCTGTCTTCACTCTGAAGATGGCACTTGGCCCTGTTTGCATTTCAAGTACCATGGGGACTGTAGTTTTTGAGGATTGAATGAGGTGACAGAACTGCAGGGAGCACAAGCATTTGAGTAGAACTGTGTCTTCCCTTCCTTGACTGCGTATCCCTGTTTTTTCCTGCAAAGAAGAGGTTACCTCCTGCAATGTCATCTTTGTTTTTGAAGAGAAAGAGGGTTTGGGGCGTTCCAGAAGAGGGCGTTCCAGTAGAGCAGTGACTGAAAGGGCAAAGTTTGGGCTAAAAATAACTCGAGCCAAGCCACAGGCTGTACTTTCGTAAGTTGGTGTGTGTTACACTGCTTTGTAATATGAGGTCAATACGGTTCGTGTGTTTGTATTTGGACAGTTTGCTTCCCTGGCATTGCCAAACAGTTCATAAGGAGAAAAAAGCAAAAAGGAAACAGGGGACAAGCAGTCTAATGGTGCTCTGTGCTTCCCCAAATGTCTGATTCCAGGGGTAAAGGTTCCCATTGTATTTATTTTGAATGACTGCTAAGAGAAGTTTGCACTCTTTATGTATTTGTTTAGATTTTGAGTTGAAGTCTGTTGGATTTTTATAGTGGATATATATATATATACTATCTCTATATAAATACTTATTTTGTTTTCACAGTCTATTGATGGCTTGCACGAAAAAGGAATGGTTGAAGACGTTCATTGTGGCTCCATGAAGAGTATGCGACCTCCCCACCCTGGAATGGGCCCACCTCAGAGTCCAATGGACCAGCATAGCCAAGGTTTATACTTACTGTGCATGCTGTACGATTTGGGGGCCCCTTTCTTCCACGAAGAGTCAGTAGTTCATGTAACAGATTTCCAATTATTTCCTTTCAGCTTGTTTGGAAAGGCTGAACTGATACCACAGGGCAAGGTGAATAACTGAATCCCCTTGCTTTCTGGAGCATCCATCAGTCATGTGTTGGAAAAAAGCTAAGGTTCAAGTCTGTGGCTGGGGCAAGTAATTGGACTAAGTCTACTACAGATTTTAGTTCACATCTCTGAAAAAAACCCACCTAGTTCTTTCCTATCTTATGTGGCTATTGTAAATGTAAATGCATTAGAATATGATTTATTTTAATCCTGTGGTGAAGGAGTGGTAAGAGAGAAGAACCCAAGCAAACCTGGAGAAACCTTATTTAGTATCTATAATGTTTGGTCAAGGGCTGATCAAAGTCCTTTCCAAAATTTTTTATGCCGGAAAATAGAGACTCTTTTTACTACATTGCTACATGCCTTCTTTGTGTCTTTTAGTTTACAACATTAGAGGACATGCATTCTATAAGCAGCTCAGTGTGTTGGAGATTTAACTGGTAACACCTGCTAGTATTAATTAGTTCAGCAGATAAGGCTTTGTATATTGCATAATTAATTATATTACAGCAGCACCTGAAGAATCCCAACTGAAATTAGGGTCCTGGTTTGACACATTGAACAGATCTATTAAGAGGTGGTCCCTGTTCGATGAATTTACATGTTTATTACCTAGGGTGAGAGAAATGCTGGAAGGAGAAAACAGGTACAGATCAGCAGAATGACTTGGTCTGAACTGCTTTGTGACTTTTCAGTGGGCTGTGACTGAAACCCTAGTCTGTAATTTGTCAGCTGAATCCCTGTCTGGGATCTTGAACTTTAGAAAGTACTGTTTTTCCATTACACCTTTCAGTATCAGTTAAGTAAAATAGAACTGACTTTGCAGGGTAAAATTCACCATCAGTTAAAACTTTTCCACTGATTTCAATGAGATGCAGACATGATCATCCAAGAGCAAAATTTTACTTGGCTTGCATTCAGAGACGCTCTTTTGCTTATAGTGAACTTGTTCTTTAAAATGAACAGAGTGTTTAGTCTGAAGATGGAGATAGGTCCAATTCAAACATAATGTGCTCAAAATACAAGAGCGTAAGTTGCAAATGCTTCAAATACAAGTAGCTCTGAGTTGTTTTCTTCTTTCTTGTGCTGGCTGAGATCAGAATTCCAGGTTGTGTTGCTCTGCAAAAAGATGATTGTATTAGTAGCAGCTGTAGCAGGCTAAAGACTACAGATCCCTGCTCTCTTTTTGGTGTATGTCGGCAAGTGTTGCAAAATAAACAGAGAATACTGAAGTTCTAATGTAAGCAGGCTTTTTAAAGAAATAAAGCCCCTACAAGTAAGTTCTAATATTTTAAATACTCTACTTGACATTGTTGAGGAGCATTTAAGCTTTCTTTGCCTCTATGTCTACTTTTTTTCTTCTTACGCAATTATACACTCAAGGCTATTCTGGTACATATTGCGGAAAGTCCCATCTGCTAACCTTGTACTTTCTCCCTGTTAGTGTACATACCCAAGGTAGAAAACCAGGTTTCTTAATAGCCTTTCAACCTATTGGATACTTTCAGTCTGATTTACCATGGGATTAGAGTCCTGTAAGACAGCTGTGTTTCTACAAGTTTTGTGGAAATAGGCAATGTGGTAAAAGAGAGTGAGCTCACCCATGCCGACATTCATGGGGAGAGGACAGTATGAGTTCTCTGAGAATCCATGGAAAGGTGCATGGTAAATCTTCTAATTCTGACAAAATCTTCAGTTGCATTTGGCACATTGTTAGAAACCAAGACTTACTATAAGGTTCACTTCCTTGTAGGTTCTTGGCTGTCTGATAGTTGAGCTTACGTTGCAGTTGGGTACAATTTTTAACAATATGCATGGCAAATAGAAATTGCATCTCATTAGTTCTAGGTCTGTTTTTTTCATGGCTTGTTGTTTGTAGGCTTCAAATTGAAGTACATAAATATATGTGCTAATTAAAGTTATTATTTTTGGATGTTTGGTGGAAAGTAGCTGAAGAAGTTCAAAACCCCAGGGAATGGATGATCCTAAACTTCTGCCATTAGTTTGAAAGCATAAGCAGAATGGCCATATATCAGTTAAATGTCGTTTAGTCTACCACTGGTTCTAGGTAAAATCAAATAACATTGTCTGTCTTTTAATTCCATATGACCTTGTCTGTAATTCAGTCCGTTGAGAATAGTTTTATGGAAAAATCATAAAATCATAGAATGGTAGTATGGTTTGGATTGGAAGGGACCTTTAAAGGTCATCTAGCCCTACCTCCCTGCAGTGAGCAGGGACATCTTCAACTAGATCAGGTTGCTCAGAGCGCCATCCAACCTGACCTTGAGTGTTTCCAGGGGTGGGGCATCTACAACCTCTCTGGGCAACTTGTTCCAGTGTTTCACCAACTTCATTGTAAAAAATGTCTTTGTTATATCTAGTCTGACTCTACCCTCTTTTAGTTTAAAACCATTACCCCTTGTCCTATCGCTACAGGCCCTACTAAAAAGTCTGTCCCCATCTTTCTTCTAAGCCCCCTTTAAGTAATGAAAGGTTGCAATAAGGTCTCTCTGGAGCCTTCTCTTCTCCAGGCTGAACCACCCCAACAGCCTCTCTCCATAGGAGAGGTGTTCCATCCCCCTGACCATTTTCGTGGCCCTCCTCTGGACCCGCTCCAACAGGTCCGTGTCTTTCTTATGCTGAGGGCTCCAGAGCTGGACGCAGTACTGCAGGTGGGGTCTCACCAGAGCAGAGGAGAGGGGCAGAATCACCTCCCTTGGCCTGCTGTCCATGCTTCTTGTTATGCAGCCCAGGATACTGTTGGCTTTCTGGGCTGCGAGCGCACATTGCTGGCTCATGTCCAGCTTTTCATCCACCAGTACCCCCAAGTCCTTCTCGGCAGGGCTGCTCTCAATCCCTTCACCCCCCAGCCTGTGTTGATACCGGGGGTTGCCCTGACCTAGGTGCAGAACCTTGCACTTGGCCTTGTTGAACCTCATGAGGTTCACACAGGCCCCCTTCTCAAGCCTGTCCGGGTCCCTCTGAATAGCATAAAGTCAACCTTGTCAAACAAATTTAGTATTCTTTTTGTGGGGATCATAAGCTAAATTGATTTATTAAAGCATAGGCAGGTTTGGTACAGTACTTAGTGCAGTACAGTATTTGTACAGTCATCAGGAAAATGGATCCTGGCCCATGTATGGGGTTTCTCTATGTATCATTAAAGCTAGTAGTAGTAATGTTAGACATGACGTTGTCTGCCTGATAGTTATAAAAGGTGCTTGGCTTGTTACTGTATAACATTCTGATTTAGGAGAAAGATAGCACTAAGTAAAATCAATATAACCTATATTAAATATATTAAGCTAGTTAAATGGCAGATTATAAAACTAACTGTAAATCGAAGATGATCATCCAATTGTGGATTTTTCTAGCTGTTCTTGTAGGACTCTCGGTGTTGTTCAATGTATTTGTCAGTGATCTGGACAAGTGCAAAATCAGTGCTGATAGAATTTGCAGATAACACAGAGGTTTGGCACTAAATAACGAACAAATTGGTTACAAAGGTTGATTGGGATGCTCAGTAGAATGCGTTTATTACTCTAGAATGGATTTTAGCACAGCCAACAGCATTGTATGTCTAGGAGCAAAGTATTTTACTGTGTAGCTGGTATGAGACTGTATCATACAAAGACCACTGAACTTACAAAGAGCAGGTCGATACAGAATTTTGGAAGTAATGATTCTTACAGTCTGTATTAAGAAATAACTGCTGACTCTAAGTGAGGTTACTTACTTTGATGAGCAAATCAGAAACATTTGTAGGCTAAATCTGCAAGAACTTTGTCATTTTGCTCATAAATGCCTATTCACTGTTTGAATGGCAGTTACTGTTCTGAGATTTTTGCATTTTTTTAACTAACAATAATTACTAAAATAAGGTATGCAACTTCATTATTTAGACTATGGATTTTTTTTTCTTGGTGCTCAGTGGGATGCTAGTCACGCAGAAAGAATCTGTTACTAGCTCAGACAGATTGTCACATTTTTATTGCAGTCATACTGTAGTAGGATGGTTTTCAGAAATCTGACATTAATTTATGGAGAAAAATATTCTGAATTGGTATCTTTCTCCTCAACAGTTGCTCCTTTCCACTCTTGCTGCCAAATTGGAGAAAGGGTAACATTCCTGACTATTTCTGGTGACAAATTTTCTTTTCTTGAACTTATGAACAATGATGTCCCTGTTCAGTCTTAATACCTTTCTTTTAATGCTAATAGGTTAAATGGAAGGAAAGTCCATTGCTCTAACTTCATATTTAGCTGTTTAAATAGTAATCTTATTACACTTAACTGAGTTTGAGTTGTGTTAGAAGCTGTCTTCAGCCTCTGTGAATGAACTGTGCTGAAAAACCCAGTATTGATATTGGAAGTATGAAATTTTACTGTAAATTGTTAAACTGCTAAACAGAGTTATCCAGAAATTGAAAATTACATTTAGATTTGACTTCGTACGAGGAATGGGGAGAAATTGCAAAGACAGGCCAAATATTTATATAAAATAAAATATTTTTTATTAGAAAGAATTCATAAAAAGATACAAATGGACTGAAACAATTTCTGTGTTTTTCTGGAATTTGAAACAAATTAAATGCAGTTGCTGTGATACAGCAGCAAAATACAGACCAATTTGAACAGTTGGCATGTCTTTGCTTGCTATTTGTAAGTGGAAGCATAAGCACTGCGGCGATTTAAGGTTCTGGGACTTGAGCCGTATATATTTTTAATTATCATGCAGTACTTGTTGAACTTCTTATGAAGATACACCAATTAAGTTTAACTTACAGAATTCACTAAGTTACTGCTACTTCACAAACAATGTTCATTGTCCCTACTGTTCTTAAGTTAGCTGCACTTCCTTTTCTGATTTTTTTCAGCCTTTTAAAGATGAGAAAAGATCTCTCACCTTACCCATCCGCCTGCCAGCATAAGACCTTTCAACAGTTTATTTCTACAGTTCTAGTTTTAAATGACTTGCACACATGTGGCCTCTCTTTCTCTTTTTTGAGACTTTCACAAGAACTGGTCTTAACCTTGGCCACACTACCAACAGGGAAATGTTATATATTGCTTACCTTAAGAAAGTTTGTAGCCTCGGTCCAACATGAACGTATTTTCCACTGCATTCCAAGACGTTATGCTTTCCTACCATGTATTGTGGGCATGTAGTTGATTCCTTATTTTTTTTTGAAAACTAACTTTAATTGATGATTAAAGTGATAGCTAACCTAAATGAGCTACACAGCGAAATTTCTTCAATCCTATCCATATCTTCCTAATCAAAAAATTCTCTTACAGTCACATTTTTGAGTAAAAATATACCCTTGCTATCAGTTTTACCAGAAAGATTTGACATATGTGATCCTCACACACTTTCATCATTTAAGTCTTCTTAATTTTTAGTGGGGAGTCAAGACCTCTGTTGAATATCCCAGTGTTTGGACTGGCAAAACCTTGACTCTTTCTATGTAATATTCATTACCAGGGTTTAGAATTCATATGTGTTCTCCTCTGTTCAATTATAGCATTAAAAGTGGAGAAAAAAGATCTCTCAGTTTTTAGTGCTCTGGTTCTTCAGCTTTAAAACAGGTGAGGAAGATGTTCTTTGCTTCTGTTAACTAAAGTGAAATTAAAAGCAATTAGAACAGAAACTTTACACAGTCTACCCTCCAAAAATGCTTGTGTTTGGTAAAGTGTTAGAACTAGGATTTTTTCCAGTGTCAATACTGTAAAGAATACACATTGTTTATGACATGTTGTGATGTATTTCTGTCGAACAAGTTGATACCAAAGTGGGATGAAAAGAATGTTTCTAATTATGCATACAGTTAAGAAAGCAGTGCTTTTTAACTGCCGAAAACTTGAGAAAGATTTCTGATGTAGCCTCTTCTACAACCCATTGAAAGATTATGGAGAAGTCAGAACCAGACTCTCCTCAGAGGTGCATAGCAAAAGCACAAAAAGTAATGGTCATAAGTTATGTAAGTGAAATTCTGATGGGACTTAAGGGAAAGAAAATTCACCATGAGAGTGATTAAGAATGATCATCATTGGAGATTTTCAGAACTCACTTAGATAAGACCTGGAGAAACCTGATAAAGCTTTGGAATTACCACAGCTTTAAATGATGGGTTGGGCTGTTTGGCCTCCCTTTCCTGGTGTTGGGTGTCTTCTACTGTGTATATTTTTTAGAACTAAAGGTTTCTGTTATCCTTTGCCAGCACATAGAACTCTTCTGTTGCGAGTGTTCTGCAACGTTATAATTCAGTACTTTTGCTGTCTTCCATTCTGAAGGTTAAATTAAACAGAATGGTTTATGCAGAATAGAAAACAAAATTTTCTGTGGAAAATCTAGAGGGAGGGGTACTTGGCAGTTCAGCAAGTAACAATTAATGAGCTAGGTATTTAAAAACCTCTGAATACTTACTGTGGAAATTCATGTGTGCCACGGAAAAATGCATTTGAAGTGCTTCATAGCAGATGAAAGCGTGTTTGCGAAGTTCGAAAAGGTGTCTGTCTTTGCCTGTATGTTAAACATTCCTATGGACTGTGTCTTTAATTTTTTTTCTTTTATGACATATGGTTGTTAAACTCAGTCTTCCTGAGTCTTCATGTGTCCTTATTCAGAGCCCATGTGTGCATGCTCACCTGTATTAGAGTATGTGTAATAAGATAGGAAAAAAGCAAGTGGTCACACTGCTGAATCTTCTGAAAGTTTTCCAACTTAAAAAGGAAAATTTCCATATAGCATCACAAAATTTAGGTGCTGTAAATGCCGCATTTTAGAACCTTTATAAGACGTTTGGTAGACTTTTATTCTTTTGTTCTTTCCTGAGATATTTTATTGGAATTTCGTTTTCACTCTTACTCTCGTCAAACCTAGTTTCCTATTGCCAAGAATCCTAATGCACAGGACTTCGAGGGAGAAAGAAAGTGTAAGTAATATATATATCTAGAAAGCTCAAAAATTGCCTGCTTCTAAAAACTCCTCTCTGCAAAACACAAGACTTGCATCTGGAACTGTCAGGACTGAAAACAAGTGCTCAATATCTTACACCATAGTTTTAGATTTTTATAGTCAGATGGATTTCAAGATCCTGGGTCTGAAATCTATCAGTGATTAAGGAATAGATAACTTGGACAGCATAACTTGAGGGGGGGAAGAAACCTTTCTTTGAAAGGCAGTTTTGAAAACAATGTAATTCAAAGTAGGTACTATTTAAAGTAAATTCTGAGATTTAGAAATGTAATAGTAATGGATAAATATTGCAATAAACCTCATTTTATAGTATAAAACAATAATACAGTTGTATATTTTGTTTTTTGTTGTGGCATAGTGGTTCTTTTAAAGCAGTATGCTCAGTGAGGGAATTGTAGCTTCCCCTTAAAAAAAAAAAAAAAGAATTGAGGCAATAATAAGTTAGTGGAAGGAGGTGAATAAGTGGAGTAGACTTAACAGTTATTTATCATAGCTTTTATCACCGCCAATGGATGTATAAACAATTTTTATATTGACCTAGTAAATAACTTCAGTATTTTTAACTTTTTAAGGTCTCTTTCTCGCTTTTCCTTGAACTCCTCACCTCACTTCCCTATTTTTCTCTTGAACTGCTTAATTTTTCTTATTCTCACTAGAGCCTTCTTCCTTTCCTGTCATCATCTTTAGTTACACGATTGAACTCAAGTCTGTTTCTGTCTTGTCTTATCTGGTCTTTTCCCATCATAAAACCTTTTTTTCCCTACTGTACTTCTACCTCATTTTCCTTTTTTAGAAGAGCTGAAATCCTCTCTTCTTTGTCCTTTATCTCAAACATTTACAACCTTTACTTTACTGTAGAATATTTTCATCCCCAGACCTCAGCATTGATGGACTTTTAGTTCTTTAGCACTCTCATCTAACCACTTCTATAAGTTCTAGTGACTCACAGCTGCTGTCATCTCAGAAAAATTAAGACTACTTTGAGATTTTGCCTATGTGTTGCCCTTACTGAAGGGCCAATAAGAACAGTGAAGCTAAAGAGAGGGCAAAATTACTTGCTTCTGTGAACTGGACTATGTATAGATGAAAGTGATGTATTTTCACTTTAATAGTGTCAGGAAGAGTGGAGGAAGAGTAGATTTGGCATCACAGAACCATAAACTGTGGCATGAACTTTGGAGTTCAGTGATCCATGGCTTGCTAAAGTATATGAAAGTGACCCAGAAGATTTCTTGAAAGAGCACTGTTTGTGCTCCACAATACCAGAGTGAAGTGGGTAAATATCATTACCTCTTTTTCAGTCTTGGTGGACATCTTTAAAATCCAGCTGTCTGTTGTGCATTACCTGAAGGATCACTCTTCATATTTTTTCTCTGACATGCTACATATTCTTGGAAATCTCATAAAAAATCTATGCCATCTCTTTTCATGGATGCATTGTGAAGCTCAAGGAAAATGTATTAAGTGTAATCACAATTCAAACTTAAAACCACTGTATTCGCAAGTGCTATAATAAGATACAAGTACTGTTCACTTCAGAACTGTGCTTGCTCTCCTGGAACTTTATAGAGTAACACAATCTTCAGCAGCTTCTTCAGGTGATTTGTGTGCTTGCAGTTGATGTTCCAAGTTCTTGAGCACCCAGATGGTGAAAGGTATTCAACATTGTTTGTCTGGCTCAAACCTTTAATCTGTATAAATTAAAGAGCAATTGTATAGAAATTGAATACCGTCTGTTTCTATTTCTGTATGTTGGTGAGTTTTGGCAAAGAGGGTCTGCATCAATGAGTGGGTATTCCTTGATGTGTGTGCATCAAAATAAACATACAATATTAAGCTGTAAAATAGGCAGACTTCACTGCATGTGTTCTGCAGTGAAATATTTGTCCAACATTCTAGTGAAACAGTACCACATCCTGATGCTTCTGTATTGTATTTCATGTTTTAGCTTGTCTTACTCCAAATGTGAGGGTAGTTGTTACTTTTAGGAATTGTTGGACTATATAATCATAGTTCTTCTCAAGGAATAGCTCCTGAGGCTATCTTGATATCCCAGGGAACTCCAGATTGCACTTTTGTTCTTGCAGAAAATACTACAGCTCTCCTGACTTGAGAGAGACATTTCTATACTTTATGTACTGTTAAAGAAATTTGATGGAATTTAGATTTGACTAACCAGAGAGGTAAGTTTGTGATCCTCTTACCTGTTCTAGGTTATATGTCTCCGCACCCATCTCCACTAGGAGCACCAGAGCATGTGTCCAGTCCAATGTCTGGAGGAGGTCCAACTCCACCCCAAATGACTCCCAGCCAGCCAGGACCCATTATACCAGGAGACCCACAAGTTATGAATCAACCTAGCAGAGGTCCTTCCCCTTTCAGCCCTGTACAGCTGCATCAGCTGCGGGCTCAGATTCTAGCATACAAAATGTTAGCTAGAGGTCAGCCTTTACCAGAAAACCTCCAGCTTGCTGTTCAGGGCAAGAGGACCCTGCCTGGCATTCAACAGCAGCAGCCTCCCAGTGCCTTCAACAGACAGTCTGGTAAGTCAATCTAGGCCTTGTGTCATTGCACAGGTAATTCTTTAAGTTCTACCTGTGGAAAATGAAGAAACGGGTGCTGTGCAGGGCTATAATTCGGGACTGTATTCTGGCATCTAAATGAACAGCAGCCTTTGGTTTTAAGCTTGAGGAAGTGCATAAAACACATCTATTATTAATAGGATATTGTCAAAACTGAAATAAAAGCTATTTCACTGTGGAGTACTGTGTCTGTCCTGATTATGCTTGACATTTTTTGAATGTTAATCATACTTTACTGATCGCAATTTTGCTGTTTTTCTTAGAGTGAATTTTCAGTCTCCTGTTGCTATGCAGAAAAGTAGATAAAAAAATCTGTAGCAAGTTGACTGATTATTTAGGTTGTTGAAAGTGAAACAGACCATGTATAGTGTTCTGTCAAGTGAAAACAGTAAGGAAAATAAAACGTTCTTTTCTCCTAGTGATAATAGATGTTACAGTGCAGAAGGAAGCACATTTTGGTCCTAGGAAAACTGTGTTACATTGAACGCTCTGCACCTGTTAGTTTCTGAACACTTCCATTATTGAGTTTGCATTAGAAATCGAGGGTTAAGATGATACTATTTCCTTTTTAGTAATGATTTTAATAATTTCACTGGTCACTTCATTCCAGTGGATATGGCTTTGCTACCGAGTAAGATTTTTTTTAGGAGACACGGTTTTAATACGCTTCATTACATAGATTTTTTCACAATAAAATCTACTTAAATCCATATTTAATGAAGAAAAATACTACTTTCCTGAATAGACTAGCATGCTAGAAAGCAGAATGATTTTTGAATACTTGGAAATGCTTTGAATCTTAAGAAGTTTCTTTCCTCTGTGAAAAGGAATGCCTGGACATACAGCTGCCATTACCCCTAAAACTTGGACTGAAGGTATAGTGGAGTATAATGCTAATTTTATGTCATGTACAGAGTTATGGTTAAACAGTGTGGGTAGAGTTTGGGGAAAACATGCAGGGGCAAAAAAAAAGGGAAGGTAAAAGGCATGCAGAGAAATAGTGTAACCTTTACTGTGCCTAGGACTTGAATCAAGGAGAGTCTAACCATTTATTCATCCATGAATGACTTGACTGCATGAAATTACTGCAATTGTTAGGCAGCCTGAACATGAAGCACCTTTTACAATCAGAATGAAATATGTAAGCTGCCTGAGGGACACCCATAAAATCTACTTAGTAAGTTATGTTCTGAGCATGCTTAATTGCAGCAAGCTTGTCTTTCAACTGTAGTCTTTGCTACTGCAAACCAAATTTTTCAAACCATGGTAGAATTAGGCTGCCTTTTTTTTTTAATTGGATTGCTTTGAAAGTTCAGTGTAGTCTTTGAGATCTAATGAACAGTGTAACTTTTTTCCCTGGCGTAATAACTAGGTTTTGAACCAAAACATTCAGATTTGGGTTTACAGGCTCATTTTACTGTTTGAAAGTAGAGTAGAAGAAGTATTGTATTGAAAAGAATTAGAAATCCCTAGTAATATATATTCTTTGAAGTTCTGGGTTTTTTTTAAGAGAGATTTTATAAAAAGAAATACAATATTGCAGGCTTGTGAATAACACAGGCTTCTCATATGGTAGAAATGTTATGCTATGTTGTTGCTTGTGGGTAAATCTGGGGAGAGTGATGGCTCTATGGTAGTTGATGTCAAAAAATTCTCTGTTGTTAGCCAGCTACTTAGGGCAATATAAAAAGAAAATGGAATACTAGTATGTAATCAGATGTAGAATTGCTTTTCTTGGAATACTCCTAATGAATACTTACAATTTGAGTAGGATAATAAAGAGGGGGAAAGGTGTTTCTTGAGAGGTTGTATATATGAGTTTACCAGGCACAGTGCCTTTTAGCTCAAATGCTGCTGCTAAAAAATGCTGGCAGGTATACAGAATTGCTAGATGGATAGTTTTATCTAAATAATCCAGTATGTCATAATAATATATCTGTCCTTTTAACTATAAGCTGCTTACTGTTTGTCTTTTTTCATTGCTGGTTTTTTAATAAGAAAAAAATTGTCTGCCCTTGCTGTATCTGTTTGGAGGTTTTATTTGATGTATTTTTAAAGATTGTCCTTATTTCTTTAAATTTATTTTTCATTCATTACACAGTCGTTCGTGGTAGTGTTTGTTTTACAGTTCAGTTTGCATGATTCCCTGAAAACTGAAACTACACAGGCTTTTGGTGGGCTTGCTGCCTTTCCGTATTTTTTATAAGCTGAAATGCAGTGTTGCTAAATACAGATTCTACAGCTTGTGCTCAAGTTCCTTTTCTGAAGTTTGATGCAGATGTGTGAATGACAAATGGTGATCTCTGAAGGAATCTTTCTATCTAGATTTCAGGATGTTGGGTTTGAATTAAGGTTGATTACAAGATTGCAGGTATACCTTGTAGTTGTTTTTCTTAGTGTTAAATTACTATGACTCCTAAGACGATTAAGTGACATCTTTATTGTTGCAATGTCTGTTGTAAGTGACAATTTTTGAACATCTGAATGCATGGGTGACTTGTCATAATGGCATACTGAAATCTATGACCCTTAGTGTCTATAAATGGCAGGTACTATTTTCATGTTAACTGAGGTGTTAATTTTCAAGACGATTAGAATGCTGTAAGATAAAACAGTAGTTTAATTCCTGGTATTTGAAATACTTAAATACAATTAATAGGAGATTGTAATGAAACAAAGGCTATTTATATATGACAGGTACTTCTAAGTACAGTTGTAGAAATTTTAATATGGCTATCTAATTCTGATAGAGCTTTAAAAGCAGACCTACTTGTGCTTGTTGTCAGGTTGTAATTATAGATGCTGCCTTCTGAGTGGTGCAAGGATAGTGAAAAAGAGGCAGAATAGATCCTACACTTGCACAAAATCAGTTCTACAGCTCTTTTACTTCTAACGCTAGAATTAAAAGTCACGAGGAATGGGAAAAGAAATGGCCTTCATCATAAAGTTTCAGATGTTTCGTTTTTCTTTGGACTGCTTCCTGCAATGTGTGCTATACTTGCATTTTAGTATGTTTTTTAAAATATGGAGTGTAGTCTGTCTCAGTGTGCTTTCTCTGGTAATTTTGCACATTTATCTTAGCTTCACGTTCTGTCTTCAGAAACTGTCTTGATTTTCCTCCTGTGTTCCACATTTCATGTTATGAATAAGTACTTTTTATGATTCAGGCCAAGCCCCAGATATGAGTGTCACCAACGCACAGCAAAAGCTTCCTGCGCCACCCCCTAGTGGGAGGCCTTCTCCTGCCCCCCCTGCTGCCCAGCCTGCTGCTGCCATGCCTGGGCCTTCTGTACCACAGCCACCACCTGGACAGCCTTCACCCATTGTTCAGCTGCAGCAAAAGCAGAATCGCATCAGCCCTATCCAGAAGCCACAAGGATTGGATCCTGTTGAAATACTCCAAGAACGTGAATATAGGTAAAAGCGAGTAACAAGATTCAAATGCATATGCAGATTGTTGTTTTTCACTTTCTCAACTGAAACTCCTTGCAATCAACTACTGTAGTGACAACAGTATAAACTGAGTTTCTGGAGAGAGACCATGTCAAAGAGAAGTATGGAAACGTCAAACCAAACAATGATTTAATTCTATCCCAAGTTATGAACTAGTAAAGCATACTGGCAATATCATGACAAACCAGATAAGTTTAAAACAGGCTCAAGGACTCTGCTGGGTTAGTGTATTACTTGGATGCTGCAAACACTGAAAGTTAGGAAATGAAAATCCTTGTAGTCTACAGAGAAACCAATTCAGTGCAGAAAGTTTTCAGAATTATAAACAAAAGGGATGTTAGAAGAGAACAGTAAAGGTCAAAAGGCTGATGAGTTAGTGGCCACAGCAAAAACAAATTTTATTAGTGATGATGGGGTTGGCTGGACTACAAAAGAGTGGAGAGAATATTAAGGAGGTCACAGGCAAGATTAAAAAGAAAGGTTACCAGGAAGCGTGATCTTTAAAAGTTGCCTCCTGAGTGCCCTAATTATATGGTGAATTATATTCATTACAAAGTATAGAGGATGACGTTTCTTGTGGAGTTAGAAAGAGACTTCTTCCCTCTTCCCATCAACAAGGCTGTTAAACAATTGACCTTGAGAATCTGCTGGGCAGAAGTATCTTGACCTGCACCTAAAATATGGTCCTGAGGAAACAAACTGCACTTAGTGTATTTACTTGTTTTGGACTGATGATGTATCTTCCAGTTACTATAACAGTGAGTTTGTAGGGGAAGGTAGCCAAAAGGGATGGTGATCTCACTGGAGACTGGTTTAATGATTTTTGTTTTACGAAGGTAAAACACCATGAAGTGTTTTAGGATGTGGTGCCATGTCCAGAATCCAGGCCTTGATCACAGAAAAGCTCTTACTTTTTGCGTAAGATAATGCTTAAGTAATTTATTGGCATGTTGTTTTGGTCATTCTGTCAGTCTTACCCTTTTTACCTTAGGACTGAATGGCCATAGCTGTTTCAGCATGAGCAATCACTATTTTCTAACATCTTTTTCAGAAAGCTTGTAGAACACACCATTATACGGTTTCACAGTTGCTCTGAGTGAAGAATTGTAGCACTAACCTGAGCCAAGAGTCATCTGGCCAGTATAATGTAACCTTTTCTGCATCAGTTAACCTCAAATTGTTACTCCTTCTGTCTTTCCAGCTCTGCTTCATTGCACTAGTTGTGCCAAACTATTATGTCTTAGCATGCATAAATGGAGGAAAGTGAGGAGTGACAGAAAATAGCGGTGTTGCATTTACTAATGTGGAGAACTGGTTGCAGATACAGCATATCCATTAGGTTCTAAATACCCTGACCTTCTTGGCAGAGTAGGTGAGGTGGAAGTTTGATAGGGATTCTGCAGCAGAAGGGTTTTATTTTTTATTTTTTATGGTAGCACATAGATAATGAGCCAAGCTTTTTTAATGTTGAACACTGCTGGAATTTGGTTTTGCTTTGCGTACCAGAATGCTTAGAACTTCTGGAAGTCTTTTCATTATTTAAAACTGTATAAGTAACCTCAGACAAAAGCTTTGAAAAAAAGCAGTTTTAACAGCTTTTGTGCTTTGGATGGTGCTAGACTTAGCTTTAGTATGGGCAAGTTTAATACAGAAACATGATGTATTCACACTTTCTTCATAAAAGGGGAGTAGAAAAAAGCCAATATAAACATATGTATCCTGACACCAGTGAAGTTAGCAAAAGCTTTATGGAACGGTTGTCTCTTGAGATCTCTCAGTAGTTAACTCCTTAACAAAGGGGCATTATACTTTGAA